AGACTGCCAAAAGAAAAAGAAATACAACAGCATAAATTATACCTGGCTAGCAATGGATGGATGGATAGATAGATAGATAGATAGATAGATAGATAGATAGATATACAGACAGATAGATAAAACTGATTGGGGGGGTTGGCTCTAAGAGATGGCACTGTACAGGCAGTTGAATGGGAGGTCAGCAGGAATCTGGAGCCCAAATGCATGAGTTGCTGTGAGCAAGCAATCACCTACCCCTAGTCCTCTAGGGCCAAAGCAAATTCCTATTTCAGCCTGTCGCTGCTCGCTGAGGAATTCTTCCTGGGCAGGTTTGCCAAGCTGATGGCTCCAGTTTCAGGATAGGCCCAGATAAGACAGTCCCTGAGTACCACTACCTGGGAGGGCAGAGACTGTGAGGGCACCCCAACACAGGTGACAGGGACTACTTAATTCCTCCACCCGCCAGGGTTAAGGTAAACCCATTTAGATTAGACAGGGCAACGTTTGGCCCCTGGACCAAGGTTGACAAGGATGGGCTGCCGGAGCTTTGAAGGCTTAAAGCAATACAGCAAAGTTGAAAATGTGAGTGAGTGCCGGGCGTTGGTGGCACACGCCTTTAATCCCAGCACTCGGGAGGCAGAGGCAGGCGGATCTCTGTGAGTTCGAGGCCAGCCTGGTCCACAAAGTGAGTTCCAGGACAGCTTCCAAAGCCACAGAGAAACCCTGTCTCGAAAAACCAAAAAACAAAAAAACAAAAAAAACAAAACCAAAACCAAAACAAAAACCAAAAAACAAAACAAAACAAAACGAAAATGTGAGTGAGCAAACATCTGCAATGAGACTCAAGTTACCCTCATGTGCAGTGGTCAATTCTGGACAGATAACTTAGGAGGAATAATAAGTGAAGAGATATCAGGGATGCAGATAAAAATGAAAAGGAGAGAAGGAAGAAAAACATGTTGGTTCAGATGAGTGGTTCAGCAAGGAAAGAGCAAAAAATACCATCCAGCCAAAGCATTCATTAAACTATCAGAAGTGTATTGCCAGGTGTGGTGGCGCACGCCTTTAACCCCAGCACTCGGGAGGCAGAGGCAGGTGGATCTGAGTTCAAGGCCAGCCTGATCTACAGAGTGAGTTCCAGGACAGCCAGGGCTACACAGAGAAACTGTCTCAAAGAAAAACAAAAAACAAACCAGAAACGCACAACTTGGTAATCCAGAGGCAGAGAGATAAGGAGTTAGTTCAAGTTCATCTTTGGCTAGTGTGCTTGAGGCTAGCCTGAACTATGGGAGACTTTTGCTTCAAAAGCCAAAAGAGGGAGAGATAGAAGGACAGGGAAGGAATGGAGGAATGGAGGAGACAAAAAATTATGTGCCTGGCTAGACCAGAATCATGAAAGGGAACTGAAGCCACTGCCTGCCTTATCTAAGAATTCTTTAAAAGTAAATTTAACAGCTCATCCTAAAGTCAACTCATCTGTGTACACCTTCAATAGCCGGTCTCAGAGTTCTTGGGCTCGGTCAATTACTGTGGTTTAAACGCTGTTTTTACATCTACGTTCCCAAATTGTCCTTTCAGCTTTCAAAGACTAGTGAATGCTGCTCCAGTGCAGTGGTGCCCACGGCTAATTCCAACACCCAACTAGAGCCTGAGGCAGGGGAGCCTCAAGTTCAAGGCTAGCCTGGTCTACACAGTGAGGCTTTGTCACCTAGGACTTATTTTCAGTCCCTCTTATGGGGGCCCTGAGCCCATTTAGGCAGCCTGGACTCTGGTCAGTTTCTGACATTGTCATATCGTTGTCATACTTAAAACTCCCAAGAGCCCTGAAAGAAAACTTATAGCATCCTTCTCTCATCCTGTTGTCTCAACAGGAACCAACATCACACTGGAACTCTTTACCTTACCTCGGAGCGGGACAAATGGAATATGAATTTTAAAAAAGAGGTCAACCCTCAGGGAAAAACTATAATGTAAGACTAGGGGGGAGCAGGGAGACAGGCTTCTTACCCAAGTGGACCTAGGACCCAGCCAGGAGAATCTGGAAAGGCTTCAAACAGGTCTTTTAAGGAGCTCTGTAAACAGGTGAGCTGTCAAAATGACCCAACACACACTCTTCCTTAAGCCACAGTTTAGCAAAACAATGAAAGCAAATGACCTCGGGAGGAGGTCTAGGAATTCTTGCATCCGGTTAGGTTAAAAATCATATCAGCAACAGTTGGAGGAGAGGTAGCCTAAGGTGGAGAGGGAGGCGGCTTCCTTTCACTCGCATTGGCTAGCATCTTTGGTTCCAGGGTGTTTATCGGGTAAAGTGATCATTTGAAAAGATTAGCGCCACAATTAACTCAATAATCAAGTAAAGACTGGGTCAAAGCTTGCCATACGGATTCCTGGGCCATCAGGAGAAACAATAGGACACCTCTAAGGGCTGGGGGCTATCTTTGGCTTGTCAGTTGCCTTGGGTGTGTCATTTGTTTGTTTGTTGTTGTTTTGAGCAATCAAGACTAATTTCCTAAAAGGGAAGATATCAAGAATTCCTGTGTGGAATACTATTATTAAACACAAACATCAGTTTATTCCCTGATTTCTTTTAGACTATATTTTGGTAGTTACCCAACATTTTGGGGTGTTTGTGTGTGTATGTATGTGTGTGTTTTAGGTAAATCAATCTTGCCTGTGGGTCGATTCATTTGGTGGGTGATGTGTTCAGCATTTTTCTTCTAGACGCATTTGACCAATCCAGTTTGCAGAAGTTGAATGAGAGCAGGGGGAAGACCAGGCAGTGTCTGGCACAGGCTAACGTGATAGATCTGAGCCCTACAAGAGTGTGGTAGGCTAAATCCAGAGCCGGGAGTGTCTAGCAGACACCGCTTGTACTGGGGTCCCTCTGCTTCAACTCGGACCCAGGACTCTTCTGCTCTGTGAGCATCCATTCACTCTATAATAGGAAGTATGTGCACTTTAGCCCTGGGTAACAGAACAGAAGACTCAAACCTTGGGAGTAAACCCAGGAGTGAGAGGAAAGGACACAGGGCTGATGGGATGGGCTAGCACCTCATCGCCACTCACTGACTTTGACTTCTCCCTTGGCCGGGCCCTATTCAAGCATTGTTACTGAGGGTGCAGGTGACTGAATCCGCAGGGAACTGATTGCATTGATTTGCTAGTTATCTCTGTCTTTCGCCTACTTCCTATGTATGCACGCACGCTCACCTCAAGGTCTCTGCCTGGGAAACTGTCCACTCCAGGTACCTTCAGGGCTTGGTCCCCCTCATTTCCTCCAGGCCCTGCTTCACAGGTTGACTCTATGTGAACCGGGTCCTCCCAAAGCTTCACCCCCTGTCCCGTGTGGCTTTCAGCGAGCACATGTGCTCACCGCCTGTGCTCAGTCGCCTCTCAATGATTTGACCTTGTTCTCCTAACGTATGCGAGGCGCATAAGCACCAGTGGATCTCAATGCCTGGATCACTGCATTCAATACATAGATCCTCAAGATATACTTGAGGTGAAAAAAAATGAACCCGTATCTGTACCAGTATAGCCTCCGCTGTAATGATAAACTATCGGCATTATTTTTTACCTTAAAAGATATTTAATGTAACCAAATGAATATAAAGAAAATTCTAACTAAACGTATTTAGTTAACTCCTTAAAGTGAAAAGACACAAAATGACCATACTTGTAGCAGGCAAATAGCGATGGATAGGGGAAAATGGATGTTGATAAGGATGAGTTAGGCCAGGTGATGGTGGAGCATGCCCTGTCCTGAAAACCCAAAATAACTAACAATAATAAATATTAATAATTCATTAGTTGTACTGTATTTTTAACTGTTTTTAAAATTATTGCAACTTGTAGACATTTTCCAGGTGCCGTTATAAGTTAACATCTAGTTTTGGTTTGCCCTCTGCTGTCGTGTAAGCCCCTTAAGGATATGGCCTGTTTCATACAGCTTTGTTTCCTCCTATATAGTGCTACCAGGATCCCCTGCAGGCAGCAATGCACTAGAAATCATGTTCATACACTTGTGAAAATACCTACATAGAATGGACTATTACGTACAAACATGTATGTTTCTTCCACCTATATTTTATACAGTTCGGCAGTAAAATTTAAAAAGTTCTGTTTTTTTTTCTTTCTTTTTTCTTTTTTTTTTTCTTTGAGACAGTTTCTCTGTGTAGCCCTGACTGTCCTGGAACTCACTCTGTAGACCAGGCTGACCTCGAGCTCACAAAGACATACCTGCTACCACCTCTGGGAAGAGTTTCTTAGCCAAACAGAGAGTCTTCCCTACAAACATTACGAACATACTTGTTGACAAAGATCATCTACTATCGCAAAAGTTTAGGATGGGAGAGCAGAACGATTTAAAACACACACAGAGATGAAATGTTCCCTTTTTCTCCCCTTTTTTCCTTTAATGAGCTATGCCATCAGCACTGTAGAACATAACAAAGCAGAACATTTCCACCCAGAAAGTCGCCAGCGAAAGGATGACTCTGGGCCTGTGAGATGGCCCAGGGGTGACGGCCCTTGCTGCCAAGTGTGACATAAACCACATAGAAGAAAAGAACGGGGCTGGAGAGATGGCTCAGCGGTTAAGAGCACTGGCTGCTCTTCCAGAGGACCCACATGGTGGCTCAGAACCATCTCACCTGATGCCCTCATCCGGCATGCAGGACTGTACACATAATAAACAAACAAACAAATAAATAAGAAGAAAAGAACTAGTTCTTGCAAGTTGTGTGCTTAGATAACTGCTCTCACACACTCACACATACGGAGTAAATATATAAATAAACAGTGGTTAAAATAATAAAACGATGATCCATCTTCGGGGCAAACTTTCTAACTAGAAAAACCTTCCTAATGCAATCTAAAAAGATTACCTACGCCTCACTGGGATTTGGAATTAAATCTCTCTAAGAGATTGCTCTAGGGGGAGTGTTTCCAGAAAACACAGGCAGGCCTCATAGCGCCCTGACGATTTACCAGGAAACCCTGCAAGCTCAGGGCCTCTCCCTTGATCAGGTGACCAGCAGCCTCAGCTACCTGTTCTGGAGCCTTAGAGTCTCAACCCCACCAAATGCCGACCAACCCCATCCACCTGCAGGGGCCCGGAAGAATATTAACATTAGGAAAGTGGATCTTTTGTGAGGAGGCATTCTGGGGCTGCCCTTTAATCCTAGCATTTGGGAGGCAGAGGCAGGTATTTGAGTTTGAAACCAGCCTGGTCTACGGAGCTAGTTCCAGGACGACACAGAAATCCCTGTCTCAAAACAAAAAAGAAAATACAAGGAAGGAAGGAAGAAAACCTCAGGTAAGTGACCCAGAAGTCGCGCACTATGTCAAACATTTCTCGACCATTTGAACAGAGAAAGCAACGGAGGTTTGGCTGTGGTCTCCTTACCATATGGTTAGTTAGTTTTCTCAGGATGCAAAATGAAACCCTAGGAACCACTAAATAAAAACTACTTCCATGAAATGCTCGTGTAATTCTGGATAGACATTGACCGTAAAAGCTAGGTAATACGCACTCCTTAAACCAGATTGTTAAACCAGATTGTTAGTACTCGGTGCTCAATAGTGAATAAATTATCCCTATTGGTGCTAAGTATAACGTGGGGAAAATAAATACCCATCCACTTCCATTCTTAATTTGCTTGACTCATGGAGTGCTACAAAACTAAGCAGTCAAGCTAAATGTTAATTGTGCGATTAAAGTAAACGTGCAGTTGTTTTGTTTTACAACCTCAAAACAAACCAAAAACAAAAAGCCCGAAAACCTAAACGTTGCGATTGCCTCGGATTCGGGTTACGTAAGTTAGACTCCTTCCACTACCCAGAGAGCTGAAGTGTCTCCCACAATCTTTCCCACCCCTATCCCACTGACTGACTCCATGTCGAGTTTCTAAGTTTAGTTCTTTGATTCCCGTATGGACTGGACAGTTAAATCTTAAACCATGGCGACCTTAGTTAGGCTTCTAATATGACAGCAGGCGTCCTGGATCGGCCAGACCAGACCCGCCACTTTACCTAGGGAGGCTGGCCTTTCCCCCTCCATCCATCCCAACTCGAATCAGCCAGACTTTCCCGCTCCGCCCTCCTCCTCCCTTCCAGGTCTCCCAACTTGGGGCCGGTCCCGTGCACTTCTCGGTGGAGACTCTCAGGAAGGTCCCCTTGGAATGGTCACACCAGCAGGGTAAAGTTACCAGGGCCAGCAAAAGGGCGGCCTCTGGGTCCTTCCAATAGGACGCAGCCAGTTCCCGGCCTGGGACGCCCGGGGAGGAGGGGGAAGGAAGTGTCGCCACCAAATGGAAGGAGGGCAGCGGGGCCCACCTCCGGCTCCCTCCCGCGCCCGCCCTCGGCCCCACCTCCCCCGGCTTGCACAAAGCCGTCCCCAAGGCGGGGACCGCGACGGACCAGGCCCAGCGCCCCGCGGCTCACGCCGCAGCTCCCCGCCAGTTTGGAGCAAGCAGTCCAGGGCGCGGAGTATCCGGGGTCCCTGTGCCCCACGGTTCCCCCCTTCCCATCGGTAGCCTCGGTGAAGGCCGATCGAGCCCCACGCCCGAGGTGGCGGCCTCCAAGCCGTGGGCCGCGCGGTCACCGGGAGCGTACGAGCCTGCGACGTCGGGGCGAAGGAGAACGGCCCAAGTGTGGGTCCCCCTTTGTACCTGGCTTCAAAATCAGTCCCCCTAGTCCCCAAGGGGTCCTGCCCCGCACCTGCGTGAGGTGACCGAACAATGCGTGGGCGGCGGGAGGGAGCGAGGAGCGGGCACACCCACGGGCCCCTCCATTGCGGCCTGCCCCGCGCCTTGCCTCGCCTCGCTCTCGTCCGGGGCCCCACGCGGGAGCGCACACGCACCCCGGGCCGCCCCGGGGGGGAAGATGGCCGTGTCTGCTGCAGTCGCATAAAAGCCCTTTGTTGAGCGCACACAAAAGCGGCCCAGACCGCTTCTCCAGCAGGCCCTCTGGCCTAATGGAAGGAGGTCTTCTAAACTTCCAAACCGCCCAGGAAGTCACAGGCTGGGGAGCACCACGGGGCAGGGGGGTAACTACAGGCCTCCCGCCACCGTCCACCAAAATCTCAACCAGTGCCCAAGGGTTCGTCCGGTCGGGGCAGTGGGAGCTGAGGTCACTCGTCGGGGAGGAAGCAGAGAAAACCCACGTTTGCTAGCAAGGCCAAAAAAAAAAAAAAAAAAAGGTATTAAACATTCACGTTCATGTTGGGTTTTGTCCCCTAAATCGGGGTAGAAATACAATCCGAAGTGGCGGGGGTGTCTGGATCCACCAAATTTTTAAAAAGTAAAAAGAAAGATTAAAAAAAATTTACAAAAGCCAACAATAGCAACTTAATAAAAAAATAAAAAAAACACAACAACACACCAGTTGCCATCAGCCCAAAGTGGCAGCCGCAGCAGCCGCCGGCGCGTGCGATCCACTTACTTGTCCGACTCTTGTGACATGTTTGATCCAATGAACTCGCTCCCCTTTTCCTGGAGCCTCAGCCTCTGGTGAAACTGGACTTTCAAGTCTGTGCAGGTGAAGGTGTGTGAGAGCGCCCGAGATGGCAGAACAGGAGCTACAGGTAAGTCTGCTTTCGTCCCCCCTCACCACTCTCGCTCGCCCGCTCGCCCGCTCGCTCGCGCCCTCACCTAGCCGGAAAGGTGGGATGGGGGGGGAGGAGGGTGCCCTCACATGGGGCCCGCGCTCGCAGGCGGCCCGGCGGCGCGGAGTCCTCCCGGATCGTGGCAATGGGCAGACACAGAGCGGAAAGTGGCGGACTTGGGCGGCCACAGGTAACTTTCTCGCAAGGCGCTGAATTCTTTCACTAAAGGGTACAAGCCCGAGGGCCGAGCTGCGCGGTGATTGGCTGCGGAGCTCTCTCAGGTGAGCTGCCATTGGCAGAGGCGAGCTCAGGTAAGGCCCTTCTCCAAGTGCAGGTAACGCACTGCGAAGTTTCCCTGTGCGCGGCGGTGGCACGCTGGCGACTCCGCGGGGGAGAGCTTCTCCCTCCCTTTGCCTTCCTTCCCTGACTAGGGGGCTGGGGTCGAGGTGATGGGCGAGGAGGAGCGGGGAGCACCACCTGCGCGCACCGGGCGTTGTGGGTCAAACCGAAGGACGTATCGAGGGGCTGAACCCAGAAACCAGCCAGGCACCCGGAACCAAATGGGCAGTGCACCACCTGCCACTTGACACCCGCTGGACGAGAGCCGTGTGACCGGCAGAAGAGTCAGGGACCAAGAGTTGCGTTTTGCTAAGAGTGGGAAAGGAAACAGCTTGCCCCGGTCTGTTGCGTAATTGCATTTTTAGCATTCTTATCCACGACGCACGCTTCTCGCGCCCCCGATGCATAGAAGATGATGGCAGGTCGTTTTCAGTTTTCGAATAGCCAAGCAACCCTGCCTGGGCTGGACCTATGAAGTGCGGCGAGGCTTTGGCGGAGGACGGAGATTCGCTTGGATAGACTCCTAAGATGTCCCGACGCACCCCGTCCATCCCTCCGCAGCCCGGGATTCCTGCGCGCTGCGGAAGAACTCCTCCATCTGTCCCGTAAAGCCTGTCGCCGGTTGACATTTCTAGGCGAGCATCAACATTTACATTGTAATCCAATAGAAGCAGCTACTACAAAGGCGCTTTATTCTTGCAGTTTAATATGGTTGCCAGGGGAACAAAGCAGGGTGAAACTGACTTTTCTGTGGTTTCTCTTCTCCTGCTTGGGAACAGCTCGAATTAGCCCAGGTGTAACTTATAACCGCTGCTACCAGAGTGAAGTGTTTGTGGGAGTTCTGACAGGGATCTAGCCCCTACATGCGGATTGTGGAAATGCACGGCGGCATGGAAAAGATTTGCCACATGTTATTTTCAAGTTAGCGCTGGGGGTTGCATACTTGATACAACTGCTATAGTAACCTTTGCAGGTCACCTATTTCCTGGGAATTAAATTACGAGGCTGGTTTCGTCGTTCCTTATTTCTACCCTCAGCAAATTACTTTCCCAATTTTATTCTTTTTAAAACAATAATAATAATATAAACACGCTTACATGTACTTTGAAAAAAATAGAATATTTTGACACAATTGTAACACGGTACCTGTGCCCCCCCTTAGAGACAACCACATTCCACTGTCGGCTGGAGGCTCTGTGATTTCCTCCCTGTTTCCCAGCAACGCATCCTGCTATCGTCTTGATGTATCAATAGCAAAATGATCTGATCACTGACTTCCTTCATGAGCTCTAGCTCCTCCTTTACCCGTTTACCTTCCAGTCCCAGGTCTTCAACGCAGTTCCTTCTCAGTATAGAGATGAAGAAGTCATTGTGCGAGTTTCAGTGACAAGAGCACACTGGTGTTTTGTAACTGTTTTCTCATAAGCCTTTTTTTCCCTTTTATTTAGTTTATCGTGAACCTATCCTTATATGTTTCTGTAACGAATCAACCAAGTGACTATACAATTTATTTTCCAAACGGTCAAGCACCAATTCCATTTTCCACCACAAACAATATGCCTGCAGAACTTCTGCTGCCCCGGGCCTATGGAGATGAGCTACACAGGTGTCGTCCTGTGACACCATGCTATACCATGTGTGCTTTCTTTAAGGGTTTATTTTTCATTTCCCATGGCACATGGCATTTTCTCTTTTTGTCGTGGTTTATTTTGTGTTGAAGGAGAGTCTCTCTCTATGTAGCCCTTGCTGGCCTGGAACTAGCTGCATAGACGAGGTTGGTTTCAAATTTGCGTTTGTCCCCCTGCTCAGTGCCCAAGCATTCTTCACCACACCTTGACATTTTTTGTCATTTTTTTCTCAAGGCAGGCTTTCTCTGTGTAGTCTTGGCTGTCCTAGAACTCACTCTGTAGACCAGGCTGGCCTCAAAATCACAGAGATCCACCTGCCTCTGTTGGGATTAAAGGCGTGCATCACCCCTAACCAGCTACACCTTGACTACTTTAAGGCTTGTTGTTGTTGTTGTTACTTTTAAAATACAACAGTTTTTGTTACTTTTTAAATACAATCTGAGATTGTCTCATGGCTACAATCCTTTTCCCTGCCTTTTGAGAACATCATTTATTACAAGAGTTTTTCTATTTCTCCTTGGCGTCCTCTGAGTTTGCTTCAATGCCTCCCTCCACCACCATGGCAGAGTCTCCCACAGGTGTCTCATGAGAACCTCTTTAGCAATCCCGTGGAGGTGGGGAGTGGGCTTGCTCCCTGGCGGACCTGTTGTCTTTCCCATGGAGCTCTTAGAGTTATGAGAAATCTACAGTCTCTCGCACTCTGGAACATTCACCAGGTGAGTGACGTGATGGAAGCCATTCTGGAGAGGGGCCTGGTGTGAGCCACCTTGCAGCCTTTTCTGGAGGGCTAGTATTCCTGTCCTCGTGTGAATATGTGTTTCTCCTGCTGGCTGCCAGGGGCAGGACACAGAATCTGAAAATATTTATTGTAAGAAACTTAAAAAGTCCAAAGAAGAGATACGTAGTGTCTGACCTCTGGGGTACAGTCCCATGAAGAGATAACTCCCACCCGAGGACCACAGAGCAAGGCCACCCAGGGAAAACCCATCTGCCACCCCTTAGGTTCCTGAAGAGATTTTTATGGCCTTACTCTCATCTGTGAATGGAGACAAGTGAGAAAGAGGAAGAGGTGACAGGGGACCTAACACCTCTGGCTGCCATTTACCCAGACCCCTGATTTTAGCCATTCCCTCTCCCTTGCCTGCCAGAATCCTGTGTCTACTTGCCAGTGTCCCCTATGGTGGCTTCAGGCATCTCCAGGGCCAGACCGTGCAGTGTTTTTACAACAGCCGAGCCTTTCTCCCCCAACCTCTATGAGCATTCATGTGTAACTTCTGTTGTCCCCGAAGCCACTCTCTACTGCACCACTCTTAGCTGGGGTTTCTGCGATGAACCCTGTGACCAAAATAACTTGGGAGGCAAGAGTTTATTTCATCTTACGTTTCCACAGCACGGAGCATCACCAAAGGAGTGAGGGCAGGAACAGAAGAAGCCATGAAGACGTGCCCCACATCGCATCGTCCTGAACTGTGCTGAAATCTCTCTTTTGCTGATGGCCTTTCCTTCATATGCTTGGTTCCTGTGATTGTTCTTTTATGATGTCTTACTGTTCTTTTCTTCGGGGCTCGGGAGGTAGCAAGGAAGCGTCATGGGCCAGTTTGTCAGCTTTAAACACGGCTGTTTCCAACATTATCCCAAAGCTTTTTGCGGAAACTCCACCAAATCAGTTTGTACAAACAAAATCACTGCCTAAGCTGAATGTGGTCCATCTGAAGCCTAGTGTGGTTGTGGTGATGCATATCTGCCATCCATCCCAACATTCAGGAGGCCAAGGTAAGAGGCTGGCCGTGAGCGCCAGGTCAGCCAGCACTGCACTGCAAGACCCCATCTCTAAAGCTAATAATAATAATAGGAAAAATTCATGGTTAGTTATTTCTTTTGCTGTTTTATAATCATCAAATTCCTTTCTTGTGACATCTAATGACCCAATGTTGATTAGATAATTTGGTGTTCCTCAGACAGACTAACCACTGGGTGAATTAGATGAAGTAAACGTTTCTTGTCCCCATGGGACTGGAGAGATGATTGGCAGTTAAGAGCTCTTCCTGCTCTTTCAGAAGAACCAGGCCTGATTTCCAGCGTTCATATGGAGGCTCATGGCAATCTGTACAGTTTCAGGGGGCTCAAATGCCCTATGAAGGCACAGATCTACATGCAAGCAAAACACCTACATGGAGAAAATAATAATAATGACGATAATAGTAATAGTAATGGTAGAAATTGTCAACCATGAAACTACCTTTATTACCCAATTGTTTTGATTCCTTTGATACATGGGTGAAATAAATCTGAAAGTTTCTCCCTCTCAGATTATGAAGCAATCCTTTTCTGCATGTGTCTGTGTCCATAAATGCTTTAACTAACGCAGCGGCTCCCAAATGCGGTCCCTGTGTAGATCATCAAATGGGATCACAAGGTGCCTATCAGGAATGTGGCCAACTCACCCAAACTCAAGTAGGTGACCCGCAAGCTACCTCTCAAGAGCCCACCCCATGCTCTGTTGTGAGATTCCGGGAAGCACGGAAGTGCAAGCATTCGGACAGAGTGGGGCATCACATACTCGGCCACTGCATGGCAGGGGGGGGGGGGCGGGGTTGGGGTAGCATGAACTGTACCTGTGTGGATGAATCCATTACTGTCCCTAGGCTTGCTTATTGGCAACTGTTCACTGTCCTTAAGTAGCACAGTTAGCATAGCAACAATGGATGAATGGATGGATGGATAGATGGGTGGATGGATATATAAACAGAAAGTGAGCCTGTAACTCCAACAGTCTCTATCATAGCATTAGAATTTCAGCACAGAATAGAATTTGATGGTCACTTTTAAAAAATCTATAATAAGCCGGGCGGTGATGGCGCACCCCTTTAATCCCAGCACTCGGGAGGCAGAGGCAGGCAGATCTCTGTGAGTTCGAGGCCAGCCTGGTCTACAGAGTGAGTTCCAGGACAGCCTCCAAAACAATACAGAGAAACCCTGTCTCGAAAAACCAAAAAAAAAAAAATCTATAGTAGCGGGGCATTTGTGGTGTACACTTTTAATCACAGCACTCAGAAGGCAGAAGCAGATGGATCTTTGAGTTTGAGGCCAGCCTGGTCTATATCTAGAGCGAGTTTCAGAACAGCCAAGACTGTCCAGACCAAAAATAAGCAAATAGTTAGTAAATAAATAAAGTTTCTCTTAAGGCGTCCATAGACACAATTACATTGATTACTCCTATAATTTAAATGATTTTTCACATCTATTAAAATGGCAAATACCATTTCCTTAAAGGTAAAAGATTAGTATTGTATTAAGTATTTGGGCTGCCCCTCCTCGGCCCCTTTCTCTTTTTCTTGCTTTTTTTTATTCTAAGAGATGGTCTCTCTATCTACACAGCCCTGACTATCCTGGTACTCACTATGTAGACCAGGCTGGTCTCAAAACTCTGAGATACCCATCGGCCTCTGGAGGACTGGTATCAAAGGCACCACCATGCCCTGCCTAGCCTTTCTTTTTATAACGGTGGATCTCTTACAGGGAAATTGGGCACATAGATGTTACAGTAGAAAAATCTAGTTTCTACAGGCTAAAGATTGAGTCAAGCAAGTCTGCCTGCTGTGTGTTGCATGTGCAGACAGACAGTGGTGTCTCTCAGCTGTTCTGCACTATAAAACACCAACTTGCAAAGCCAGCTGCCACTGAGCACCATGCAGTTAGAAGAGAGCTGACTCCTGCATGTTACAGTATGAGCACATGCACACATACACGCGCACATGAACACATGTATGAACGCTTGCATGCACACACACACACACACACACACACACACACTTATATGCACCATGTGTGTGCCTGGTGCCTACAGAGGTCAGAAGAGGGTGCTGGGTTCCCTGGAGCTGGAGTTACAGATGGTTGTGAATCACTGTGTGGGTGATGGGAATTGAACCCAGATATTTACAAGAGCAACAAGTGCTCTTAGCTTCAGCCACACCCACTCTGCCACTCCTTAACTGCCTGCTGCTTGAGAGTAAAAGTGGCAGAATTTGGAAGTCGGAAGGTGACTAAAGGAAGGTGACTTTCTGTCGTGTCCGAAAGATGAATTTGAACATCTGTGGACACTGAGGATCCGGGCTGTTTATTCTATATAACCTCACAAGGGTTGAGGAGATCAAGGCTCTAACCGTCGCTGAAGGTCATTCCGAGTGTATGGCAGGGCTGGCACTGGGGAAATCAATTCCAAAGCTTGGTTTGAAGTGTGTAAATCAGAGCAGCCATGTCTCTTAGAAGTGACATCCGCCGGGCGGTGGTGGCACACGCCTTTGATCCCAGCACTCGAGAGGCAGAGACAGGTGGATCTCTGTGAGTTCGAGGCCAGCCTGGTCTACAAAGTGAGTTCCAGGACAGCCTCCAAAGCCACAGAGAAACCCTGTCTCAAAAAACCAAAAAAAAAAAAAAAAGTGACAGCCATCTTTGCCATGCATATACCCTAGGTTCGGTCCCTGACATCAAAACACCACCAGTCACACTACCTGCAAAAAGTTGTAAGACTGTCGGGTTCCCACCCAGAAAGGCTCCTGTCTGTGTGATTTTTCCCCAGGGACACCACACACAGAAGCCTAACAGCAGAAATGTATTTAGTGCAGGAGAATGAAAGTCTGGTCATGGGGGGCTGGAGAGATGGCTCAGAGGTTAAGAGCACTGACTGCTTTTCCAGAGGTCTTGAGTTCAATTCCCAGCAACCACATGGTGGCTCACAACCATCTACAATTCAATCTGGTGTATATGTAATAAATAAATAAATCTTTAAAACAAAAAAAGAAAGAAAGAAAGTCTGGTCATGGTGCCAACAGGCTAAGATAAGGAACCATCTTCATGTCCTTACAAGGTCTTTTCGCTGTGAGCACACACTGTGTCCTAAGGCTTCTTATAGAGACACCTATCCTGTGGTTTGTTCCCATCCCAGGTAATGACCTCTCTCTCTCTCTCTCTCTCTCTCTCTCTCTCTCTCTCTCTCTCTCTCTCTCTCTCTCTCTCTCTCTCTCTCTCTCTCTCCTCCCACCAAGGGGGTTTCCAAGGATGGTCACACCCTCTTAAGTCTGCACATGCTGTCACAGCTGGGGACTTTAACACAGCTCAAAACACCTTCTTCCTTCCTTTGAGATGGCAGGATCCTGGTGCATACCGAAGGAGGAAGTCTTTCCCATCGGGTACATCAGGGACCGAAAACATTGGATCTATAACAAGGAGAGTAAGTGAAAGGTCGAATGCTAAGCAAGTTGATACCATCTCCTGGCTTCCTCCTCCCAGTTCTAGAGCCTGGAGCCAAGTTTATGCTGCAGCCGCCCAAGCCTCGGCCCGCAAGGCAAGAGATTAGAGGATTTTTTTCCTCACATAAATTAAAAGTCTTAGAACAAAGATCCACGTGCAAATATTGATGTGTGGGTGTCCCCCAGTCAGAGAAGGAAGGGGAGAGGAAGAGGGAAGGAGAGAGAGAGAAAGAGAGAGAAAGGGAAAAGGCATTCTCATTCCAAAGAACTCAATAAACATTAAAAACATTACAAATCAGAACTTTCTTTTTTCTCCGCCTTCCTATCCCAGAGTACCAGTTTACAGATTAGCACAAGAAAATATCTCTTCAAAAAGATGTGGTGGCTTACACTTGTAATTCCAGCCCTCAGGGACACAAGGGCAGGAGGGTCTGAAGCTCAGGGCTGTCCTCAAGGTATGGTGAGCATAGGTAGTGGGGGGGGGGGGCAGCGTGAGATACATGAAGTCCTGTCTAAGAGAAAAAGATGAGCTGGGCCATGGTGGTGCAACCCTTTGATCCCAGCCCTCGGAAGGCAGAGAGGCAGGCGGATCTCTGTGAGTTCCAGGCCAGCATGGTCTACAGAGAGAGTTCTAGGAGAGCTAGGGCTACACACAGTGAAACCCTGTCTCAAAAAACCAACAAAATAAAGTAAATGATGGCTTCATGGAGGCTGGAGGGATGATTCAGTGGTTAAGAGCACTGGCCTCTCCTCCAGGGGCCCTGAGTTCAATTTTCAGAACCAACACAGCAGTTCACAGTCTTTTTTTTTTGTTTTTTGTTTTTTTTTTTTGGTTTTTTTTTTGTTTTTCGAGACAGGGTTTCTCTGTGGCTTTGGAGGCTGTCCCTGAACTCACTCTGTAGATCAGGCTGGCCTCGAACTCACAGAGATCCGCCTGCCTCTGCCTCCCGAGTGCTGGGATTAAAGGCGTGTGCCACCAACGCCCGGCTAGTTCACAGTCTTTTATAGCTGTAGTCCTGTGGTTTCCCATGCCCTCCTCTGTGTGCTTGGTTTTTTTTTTTTTTTTTTTCCGAGACAGGGTTTCTCTGTGGCTTTAGAGGCTGTCCTGGAACTCCCTCTTGTAGACCAGGCTGGTCTCCAACTCACAGAGATCCGCCTGCCTCTGCCTCCCGAGTGCTGGGATTAAAGGTGTGTGCCACTAACGCCTGGCCTGATACCAGGTTTTTTTTTTTTTTTTGGTTTTTCGAGACAGGGTTTCTCTGTGGCTTTTGGAGGCTGTCCTGGAACTCACTCGGTAGACCAGGCTGGTCTCGAACTCACAGAGATCCGCCTGCCTCTGCCTCCCGAGTGCTGGGATTAAAGGCGTGCGCCACCAACGCCCGGCCTGATACCAGGTTTTTAAAGATTTATGTATTTTATATATATGGGTGTTTACTCTGCATTCAAGCACACAGAGGGGCCGGGTGTTGGTGGCGCACGCCTTTAATCCCAGCACTCGGGAGGCAGAGGCAGGCGGATCTCTGTGAGTTCAAGACCAGCCTGGTCTACAAGAGCGAGTTCCAGGACAGCTTCCAAAGCAATACAGAGAAACCCTGTCTTGAAAAAAGAAAAAACAAAACAAAACAAAAAACTGGTATCACAGAGGAGCCACAATTTGAGAGGCACTGCCACCCTTGATTCGAACTCTCTTCATTCTCAGAGTGGCTCTCCATCGGGGAGGTTACTGTTATTATCGCCACTGCTTTGATGGTGTAATCGACCATAAAGAAACTGGAAGAAAGATGACATTTACCCGAGATAAAATGCCAAAGCAGGAACCCGGAGACCACGGCAGCCTTCTATAGAACAGTGTGCTCCCTCAGGCTTTTTAACGAGGCAGGTTTATTGGTGATGTCTCAAAATCTTGAAACGTCTCAAGCAGGAAAAACAACCAGATAGCTTGAGACAGCCCTTCTCTGTTTGAGAACCTTCAGCAGTTCCCAATACAGATAAATCAACCTTCCTGCTTCCCTAACCCTGGCTGCCTAAATCCATCTGTGCTGTTCTATATGAAGAGACC